AGCGCCTGATATTCAGCAGCATGGAGGTCAGTGTAAACATAACGTTACCAGTTCGCCACATTGGTATTTATCAAAGAAGATAAAGTCAGTTAACTTAAACAGTTCTCACTGCCCTAAACTGCCTCATGAGACAGACTGACACAAAATGACTCCGACTCCTCTGACTCCTGATGTAACTGTTACAGCTCCATCATATTCACTAACCTGCCGTTCTCTGAGTTCTGTAAGCAGCTCTGCATGTCTGTCAGAAAGATGTGCTGAGTGGGAGGTGTCGGCTCCTTTGGTCTGGACATGTTTAAAGCCTCTTCTGCAGACCGGTGTTGATGTGTCCATGTTGCCCTGACTGTCAGCTGTGTATGCAAAATAATTCCATATTTCGCTTCGTGCTTTTTCTACAAGCCGAGGACGGTCTGCGAAATCGCTGGTATTAGCAGCCATGCTACGCGTTCTCTTCTGACTCTGAGGTGAGCGCTGGAGGGCTGCGCGCGCACACTGCCCCCTGTGGCACTCGTTGGAAATACCGCTCTTATTTTAAAACACGCTCATTCATTTAGTACCGGTACTAAATAAATGGGGTATTGTACCGTTTTTAATGACGAAGTATCGCGATACTTTTCAAGTATCTGTATACCGTGCAGCACTACTGTGTGTGTCTACCTGCGTAATCCTACACTGATTAATGGAGGAGCTGCTGCAAGCGACACTCAGCAGTGCAGTTTTGTCTAAAACACCATTTTGTTGAGTTTATAAGAGTTTTAAGCTCTTCATGCTCTTATTTAGTTTTTCTCAGGGGCAGCACTGATTGTGCTTCACTGTGTTTGGGTTTATCTCTGTATCCACAGTACAGCTAAACTCATCTCCTGAGTGAACATCATACCGGTATTTACTGTTATAACAGTGTACAGCCCACCCCAGACCACCGTTATATTCCAGGTTATTGAGCGTTTCTCGCGCTAACTAGGGATGTTTTGACTTTACCGCTTACAACCGTGTGCATGTGACGTCACTGGAGCTGAGAGTGCATCTGCCTGAGAGTGCAGGTCTGCAGTCGGACTCTATTGGTCAGCTGTGCTGTGTGTAAAGCCGACTTTAGCTGGCTATGGGAGCTCATCCTCTGTGTTGGAGCATCTGAAGAGGAAACACATCGACTCACTACATAAAACAGCTCATCTGGGTAAGATAGCTGTGCTAGTGGGGTAGTTAGCTAATGTTAATGTTAAAGCCGTCTTATTTCATGTTCTGAGCTGAGCTGAACATCTTCTGTTGTGAAATGCATGTTCTCTGGAACTGTTAAAGGGGTTGGAGTGAAGAAGAAATGATTCACAGCGACCCTGTTTACTTTCAAAATAACGTTTACAGTTTTAAACACTGCATCTCTGTCTAAACGTCGAGGCCACAGATGAGTTCAAATTAGGAGAACATAGGAAAACATTTATAAACAGTTGGAAACAGTTTTCGGTTTTCCTGGAGTTCTCCGCTGTCGTTTGCTGCTACTTGTAAACCGTTTCTGGCGGAAGTTCTCTGAGAACATACAGGGCAGCTGGACGAAACTAAAACAGTGTTTCTTTAATCAAGTAAATAAAAAATAACTTTAAATGTTATATTTTAACAGTGCAGTCTGTGATCTGTGATCTGTGCTCTGCTGTTTTTCTACACTTTGCTTTACTAAATTTTACAGTCACAGATCTTCAGTGAAACGGAGGAAAGTCAGTGTCTCTCCGAGCTCCTGTGAGAGTCTCGCTCTCCTCTGAGAGCAGAAACTCCCCGCTGCAGAGAAGACGCGCTGTGATGGAGCGGATGGGAAAGTGGAGAACGTTTTGAAATCTGAACGATTTTGTGTAAACACTTCATTTCAGTGGTCACCCTTTGTCCAGCTACCCTGTGTGTTCACGGAGAACTACCTCCTTAAACTGTTAGCGAGTGGAGCCAAACGTCCACGGAAAACAGAAAACTGTTCTCAAACGCTCTCTTGTGTTCGGTGAACTTGACCGCACCAGTGGCCTCGGCGTTCAGACACTGATGCAGTGTTTAAAAGTGTGAGCGTTATCTGGAAACTGAACAGGGAGCTGTGAATTATAGTTACTTGCTCCTCTGTTCCAACTCCATTAACGATACCAGAGAACCTGCATTTCTAATAGATAATGTTACAGCTCAGCTCAGAACATGAAGGAGGATGGAGTTTAACATTAGCATTAGCTAACTAGCTCACTAGCACAACTGTCCCAAACCACACACTTCTGTACTTCATACACTACACTAATGAGGACACTTATAATGGTATATGTGCCGTTTTTACACACTATCTAGTGAGCTAGTGTGCGGTTTGGGACGGGGCGTCTTACCGAGATGAATCTTCTTCATCCAGTGAGCCGCCGTGTTTCCTCTTCAGAGGCTCCAACATGGAGGATGAGCTCTCAGTCCAGCTAAGCTCGGCTTTACAAACAGCACAACTGACAACCTTTTATTTCTAAGTTTTGCTCCCACACTTTTGAGGATTTTGTTCTTGAGGCTCCCATCGTGCTGTTGTTAAGTCTCCAGTGAGCGGTGATGTCAAAACGTTTCTAGTGAGCGCGACAAATACGCGTAATGACGTCACCAACTAATCGACTACTAAATTAGCTGCCAACTAATGTGGTCGTCGATTTTAGTCGACTAGGTTGAATAATCGTTGCACTCCTAATCCTCGTCTATCCAAATTGGCAAAAATCTTACATTTTCAGTTTCATCTTCAAATGACTCATTACAAATATCAAGACCACTGATTTTTTAATCAATCAAAATCCAGCACATTTTTCTTTTTTATTAAAACATCAAACAAAATTCATATTAGTGTTGGTGAAACTGCCAACAACCAAGATGCAAAATACAGGGGGGTCCTGGGGGATTCTAGACCCCCCCAGTTGGACCCCAAGAATGTCTCAAAATCAAAATTCAGGTGGTTCACTGACAACAACCTTATGATGTTAAACTGTCTGTTTGGGAAAAACAGAAGCTCAAACACAAATTCAGTAAAAGGTCATTGTTTTGCTGCTTCACTCAGGAAATGATGAGATTCTGTCTTTGATATTCTTAACTAGCTAGTGATGCAGCACTGCTCTGCCTCAGGCAGGCGCTGTTGCAAACTGGTTCACTCAGTTGATCCTTCATAGCCTATTAAATTTAACTATGCCCAGAATACCACTGAACAACTTTATAATGTGCTACAGCCTTTTTACAAATCTAAGAAACTGACCAAGAGACTGATAGAAAGAGTGAATTGTGACTCATTTCTAAAACCAAAGACAGAAGAGAAGATGTGTGAGATCTCAGTGAATGTGTGGAAGAGCAGATTACTAAACTAGAAAAGAGCATTTCCAAAAGAAGAATTATTAAACCAAACATTGTTCCCATTAAAGCTCACATCAATGCCTTTATGGTGAATGAGTTAGCAGCCAGCCAATGTTGGAGTCGCCAGACAACATGCAACCCCCCAAACACCAGGGGTCATTTCATACACTGCCAACAACTATACAATATCATCTTTTAAGGACAATTATTAATCTAAACCCCACACAGCACTAAAAAGTCTGTTTTTATTCTGTACAATTAACACTGAAGAAATACACCATTTAGAGAAATTGTAAATGGAGAAAAACTGCAGGTACAGAATAAAAGACCAGAGATCTTTTTTCAGGATTTGGGCCCCTTAGTTCCAGTGAGGGGTAATAATAATGCTACAAAAACATACAAATTAATTTTAGACAATTCTGTGCTTCTTTATGGCAGCAGTTTGAGCCTCTGTGCACAAAGCAAACTCTATAAAGACCTGCCTTAGTGAGTTTGGTGTGAAGGAACTCCTGTGGCCTGCACAGAGCTCTGAGGAAGTGAGGAAGCCTCTGCTTTGGTTCCTTGGTGAGCAGGAAACGTGTTAAATCCACTCTTCAAAGGCTGTTTTAAAAGCATTAATCTAAAAAGTATAAAATTTAAAAAAATAATATTTTTGAGAGTCACAAGTTTCCTAAATATTTTCAGGTACAGTAGAACAGTTTGTACAGAAAAGTGCTTTAAGATTATAGGAAACATTCAAAAGCCAAACAGTCACACAGTAAAATACCATAACATTTCATCACATTTGGCTGAATGTTTAATACTTTTAAATCAAACCTCTGAAAGGTGGACTTTAACACGTTTCCTGCTCACCAAGGAACCAACGCAGGGTCTTCCTCCCTTCCCCAATCTGCTACAATACTGTACCACCTTCTGCCTCCAATATTCTACCATATTCAATATACCACCTTTCATTCTGTCCTCTCTTCTCTGATTGAGGTTTTAAAATAGTCAATCAAGAAATATTAATAGTGTTATTTCTAAAAACTGAATGTTTTTATTTGGTGGGTATCCAAATCTTAAAACTTTAAAAAGGTAACTGTGTCCTGAATGTTGCCTGTTCAAAATGTAACTTGGACTGAACTCAGACACCTCATTTCTTTCTACTTGAACACTTTTACATCCCAACCCTGCACATTGTAGTGATTTCCTGCACTAACACATCCACTGTAACTCAGTAAGGGCTTGTTAATCAGGACAGGGGTTTTCTGGATTACACTCCACTAAAATCATGGAATTCTTTATGACTAAAATCACTCTTCAAATAAACAGTACAGTAAAATGTGTATTAATGAAAATACTCACTCAGCTTTTCTGGATGCTGTAATGACTGGCAGAAGCCTCAGAAGACATTCCTCTGATGGGTCATATTTGTTCAGGTCAAACTCATCCAGCTCTTCCTCTGAGTTCAACAACACAAACACCAGAGCTGACCACTGAGCAGGAGAGAGGGTGACTCTAGATAGACAGCGATGGTTTCCACTGTTCAGGTATGTCTGGACTTCCTGCACTAGAGAGTGGTCATTCAGTTCATTCAGACAGTGGAACAGATTGATGTATTTCTCTGGAGAGAGATTCTCCCTGAGCTTCTCCTTGATGTACTTAACTGTTTCCTCTCTGCAGTTAGAAGTGCTTCCTGTATGTGTCAGTAGACCTCGTAAGAGAGTCTGATTAGACTCCAGTGAGAGACCCAGAAGGAAACGGAGAAAAAGGTCCAGGTGTCCATTCTCACTCTGTAAAGCTCTGTCCACTGCACTCTTGAGAAAATCAGTCATTGTTGATTTTGAATGTGTTTGTTGTTTCAGCACATTTCTGTTCTGAGAAATAAAGGAGAAAAATGCAAACAAAGCAGCCAGAAACTCCTGAACACTCAGATGGACAAAGCTGAACACCTTCCCCAGGTGCAGCCCCAACTCCTCTCTGAAGATCTGAGTGCAGACTCCTGAGTACACTGACACTTCTCTCACATCAATGCCACACTCTCTCAGGTCTTCCTCATAGAAGATCAGGTTGCCTTTTTCCAGCTGTTGGAAAGCCAGTTTTCCCAGAGCCAGAATAATCTCTCTAGTCTGCCGAGGATCAGTGTCACATTTTCCATGGTACTTTTGGTCTTTGTGTTTGATCTGAAAGATCAGGAAGTGTGTGAACATTTGAGTCAGAGTCTTGGGGATCTCTCCACTCTCTGCTTCACCCAGCATCCTCTCCAGAACAGTGGCTGCAATCCAGCAGAAGACCGGTATGTGGCACATGATGTAGAGGCTTCTTGATGACTTCATATGTGTGATGACTCTGTTGGCCAGACTCTGGTCACTGACCCTCTTCCTGAAGTATTCCTCTTTCTGAGGGTCACTGAATCCTCGTACCTCTGTTACCTGGTCAACACACTCAGGAGGGATCTGATTGGCTGCTGCTGGTCGAGAGGTGATCCAGAGAAGAGCAGAGGGAAGCAGATTCCCTTTGATGAGGTTTGTTAGCAGCACATCCACTGAGGCTGACTGTGTTACATCAGACAAGCTCTCATTGTTCTGGAAATCTAGAGGAAGTCGACTTTCATCCAGACCATCAAAGATGAACAAGACTTTGTACTGATAATAATCTGTTGGTTTTAACTTTTTTATGTCTGTGAAAAAGAGACAAAGAAGATCAACTAGACTGAGTTTTCTACTCTTCACTGAATTCAGCTCCCTAAAAGGAAGTGGAAATATGAAGAGGATGTCCTGATTTGCTTTTCCTTCAGCCCAGTCCAGAATGAACTTCTGCACTGAGACTGTTTTTCCAATTCCAGCAACTCCATTAGTCAGTACAGTTCTGACGGCTGTGTCTTTAAAGAGGTCACTGCAGTTGATGGGTCTCTCCTGGGTTGCTGGTCTCCTGGACGCTGTCTCAATCTGTCTCACCTCATGTTCATTATTGATCTCTCCACTCCCCCCTTCTGTGATGTAGAGCTCTGTGTAGATCTGATTCAGAAGTGTTGAGCCTCCATGATATGAGATTCCTTCATTAATTCTCTGGAATTTTTTTTTCAATGTAGATTTGAACTTTTGATGACAAGCAGGAGCCAGTTCTGAAAAAAGATTATTACAATAAACAATAACAATAAACATGTTATTGTCTGACATCCTTACCACAAACACAATAACACACATTACCCTTCTATCAACACGGAGCACAATATTAAACTGAACTGTGCTCTGTGGTTCTCTTGTCTAGGAATCATCAGCAAAATTAAATAACCACAATTAATTTAGATAATAAAGGATCATCTTTTTGCTCTTTAGTCCTGAACAAATTCCTTCCAGATTGTTTATTTTTAACTGTCCAGAATTTCTATGCTCAGTTTACTTGTTACTGGTAAAAATAATTAACTTTATAATGGAAAAGAAATAATGGAATGAGCTCTGTATCAGGGAAACTGTGTCAGAACAGAGCGTTTATGTACAAAGGGGTGGAATGAGTGATTCTGAGGTTCTAGGCTAAAGACAGGAATGGGGCCCCCTGGTGGCACATTTGTAAACTAGTCGAGGCTCTGGGTGGTCCCGAGTGGCGTAGCCATCTACACTGCACAAAATGATGTCTTGGCAAGTGAAATCATCTTAAATCTGGTCAATATACCTAATTTCAATATCTAATTTTGAGATTGGGGTAAGAATATTATTAGAGTATTTAAAAAGCCCAAATCCTACATTTATCTTGTATTTTATTTTTTTAATTGTTTATCACTTATAATGTTTGTGTGGGCTTTGTTTCTATATACGGACTGTATGGACTGGAGAGTGAATGGTATGTTTTTGAATTTAACAAAATTTGCATAATACATAATACGTCTTTAAAAAGCAAGGATTTTTTTCCATTTTAACTTATTTCTAGACATTTTTACTTGTTATAAGTAATTTTATTAAGTAAAATTTTCTCATTATATTAGCAGATAATTTTACTTGTTTTAAGAAATATGCCTGACACAAATAAAATCATCTGTCAATACAGTGAGATAATTTCACTTAATAAAATTACTAAAATAATAAATAAATAAATTTAACACACACAATATATCTACTTTGTATTTTCATGGGGACCCTAAGCCTCATGCAAAGACCACCACTGTATATACAGGCTTTCCAGAGCTGCTCAGTGTTCCAGTGTGACAGAGTTCTTACTGGTTTGTAGTGTGCTGGCGAGGTCTGTCTGGTTCATGTTCCTCAGGACGTGCAGTGCGATCTGCAGTGTTCCTTCTCTGACACTCTGATCCACCTCATCCTCCACCTCCCTCTCAGAGCATGCTGGGAAATCTGGACTCAGTACCTTCTTGAACCTCTTCAGCTGATTCTTCACCAGAGAGATGACTTTGTGCTCCAGTTCCTGATTGGACATAAACATGAACAGAAAACGACTGACACACCACCATGTCATTGTTCAGTGGTTCTCATATCAGGACCACTGAGAAACTTTAAAACTGGTCTGCAGATATTTTTTATGTAATAAAACACTTGATAAATACAACAAACTGCTCAAAATCACATCAGTGAATCTCATAATCAGGACCACTGAGAAACGTTTAAGCTGGTCTTCAGATATTTACTGATATGCAAATGAACAATGATAAAACATTTAGTGTGGTGTGCACGACAAAACAATCTTCTATTAAATAAAGTGGAGCACTAAATATTACTAAATAAAGTTTAGCTTCATAAGGTTTTGCACACATGAAAAGCACCTGATACCCACTGTGAAATATGGTGTTTCATTGATACTTTGGGGCTGTTTTGCTGCTAGTGGTCCAGGGACTCAATTAAATACCAAGAAATTTTAGTCCAAAATCTGCCTGCCTCTGTTAGAAGGCTGAAACGTGGCCATGGATGGACCTTTCAGCAAGATAATGACCCCAAACACACATCAAAAATCCACCAAGAAATATCAGAGTTTTGCCCTTTCAGTGTCCAGATTTAAACCTAGTTGAAAACTTGTGGTGTGAATTGAAGAGGGCCGTCCACAAGCGAAATCTGAAGAATATTAAGGAACTGAATATGTTCTGCATGAAGGAGTGACCTGAGATCAACAAGTGTTTTCCACCTTTGATCAGCATTACAGAAAACAGCTCAGTGTTGTTACTCTTGCCAGAGAAAGGCAGGGAAAAATAAAAATATTTTACTTGCCCATTTCTTTATGCTCGAAATATCACTCACTGCATGTGTGGTTTATATAATCTATTGATTTTAGCTCATTTTCATGAAGGCTGCCCATGATTCTGGAGTTAATATAGGCTACATGTTGTTAACTGAATATTTCACAGCTATACACTTTATAATCCAATTCCCAATGTTTTTGGGAACATTGGGAATTGTTTTTTATTTTAATTGTTTATTATGGTAAGTAAAGCATAGTAGTATGGGACAATATGTATTTGGAAAAACAGACAAATGGTGCCTAACTGTGTTACATGGTCTCTAATATACATCTATAAGGATGTCAGAATTTTCCCCTTGTGATTTTGAGGAGTACAACTGGCAAATTATCACTTTAAAGACTTTCTTTGATGTCATATGCACAGATGAACAGAATCATTTGTGTCATACTGTGATATCATTTATGTTTATTATAGGGTTTATGAATGAAGGGACATTTATATAAAAGGAGGCCCTGAGTCGATACAGCATTCAACATGTGTGCTGATAAAAGAATTTTAAGCAGGTAGTGCCAATGTAGACATGCTGTTAGATCTTAGGTAGTTACCTGTTAGTAACATTAGTCTCTATAGACTCTTAACCAAATCATGCACACCACTGATTAAAGATGACCAGACAGTATCAATGGGTATCAGTATCAGATGTCAGAAGGAAAAAAGAATGATGTGATGTAACCCTGTAACAAATCTATCCTGAAACAGCACTCAGTCACACTGTGTGATGTGATGTTAGCTGTGTAGTTCTTCCTGTGGGGTAGTGGAGTGTGTGAGTAGTTAATACTACAGGCTGATTGGAGATTAATGTGAGATTCTCAGGAGAAAATATACACATTTTACCCACAATTATCTGCATATACATGTACAAACACACACCTGGAATACGGACTCCAGACGTGTCATGGTGATCTTTGCTCTCTCCTTTTGGGCTCTATGGAAAAGAAAAACAAAATTTAAATCTATATCATATTTATACAGCATGAACCACTAAACAGACCAACAGGTAAACCTACCATGATAAAATACATTAAAGCTGCATGAGTGAAAACTGAAGATATGCGAACCTCTACCAGTTAAACAGGTGAACTACAACATTGGAATGATCTTTAGTCTGTGAATCCACCTCCCATTCCCACCCATCAACACATAGCAAGCTGTAGAACCGACGGTGACCAGTGGAGTTCATCTAGAGTTTGTCAGCATTACTAAACACTGTCATGACTTCAATTTCTAGTGATAAGGTAGACAGTTTATTACCAGTATCTCCTTTCTATTTGGATACAGATGATAAAAGTATGGCTTTATGCTAACGTGGCTGAGAGGAGATCAAAATACTCGATACAGCCAACATGGAGCACATTGACTGTGGTCCTTTTCAAAGCCTTTTCACGTCTGGTTATGTCATTCGTGAGGAATTCGACTGGTCAATTTATACAGGATAAAGTCTCTGTGTAATTTCCCTAAATTACCCCAGATAGCCCAGATCAAAATGGACATAGCCTGGACTTTAACATCCATAAGGTCATAGTTAAACAGATCCAAATAAAAAATGGCAAAAATTAACATCCAGTTAATAGCAGTTAGAACAGCATTATACTAGTAAAATGAGCTCCAACAGGACAGAAATCACTCTACCTTGTGAAAGATACCTTCAGATATTTTATTTTCCTCCTTCTAATTAGCACAGCACAAATAAGCTGTTGATTACAGTCGTATTGTTTTGAACTTCAGAATGAAGGAACTGTGCCAAGTCAAGCTCCATTTTACCAGTTAGCCTCGTCTCCTTTTGCAAAAAAAAATAGTAGCTGATGACTATTACCAGGTTCTGTTAATACATTATCGTGATGTCAATACAAACAGACACTAATAATGATAATTAATTATTATTAATAATAAATAATTTAATTACATGTATTTAATAATTTGCACCAGAATTATTACTTAGCAAACTTGGAAAAACTGAAGACATTGCAGATTCATACTGGATTAAAATTATGGAATATGGACTCCAGACGTGTCATGGAGATCTTTGCTCTCTCCATTTGAACGCTATGGGAAAGATTTATATATATACATATATATATATATATATATATATATATATATACATACACATACACACAGCATGAACCACCAAACAGACCAACAGGTAAAAAAACTGTTTTCCATTAGTGGTCTGGATGTGTGTATAATGGAGATCGTTAGTTAAGGGAGTCACTGCCACCATTTCAGAGAACTATTATTCATATGAAATGTGTGTGGCAGACTAGATGATGGTGTATAGATATAGACTATGGAAATAATCTGTTTTAAGAGCTGATCATTTACTGAAAATGATGAAATTCTTAAGTACTTTCATTGTACCTGTTAGAAATGTTGTCAAAGTAACTAAATATATGAGATGTAATTGGGTTTATTCTGAATGTTATAGGGCTTGTTATGTTTTAAAAGGAGGTGTGGATTGAACAGTTAAGTAATAATCTCAATCTAATTCTCATGTTATGGAAAAGAAAACTCAAATGTTGACATTTAGAGAAAGAAATGACTTGAACTGTATTCAAAAAATCTCACTTTACTGTCAACAGAATAAACTGAAGAACATGTAAACGAGCCTCCGGACGTGGACGATTCTGAATAGATTCATTCAACGTCAAAAATTGATTTTCTAAATATTTAATTTATAAAGTAATGTTGACGGAACGTAAAAGGCGGAACTTGGAAGTGGGTAAGTGCAGCGCCCGGACAGTCTGTGGCGGCACATAACAAAAACATAACTGGATGAGCGAGAAATCCGACCGCCTCTCTCTGCGTTAAAACCAGGTTAGGCCAGGAGTCACAACTCAAATGATAAGAAGAGACATTTTGTCCTTTCAACAAAAATCAAACCACCTTGGGAGCCACAACATTTAATATCCAGTATGTCTCAGTATGTGTTAATGTCCAAGTATAGCTTAAAAATATAAACAAAAATGCGAACTTACTCTACTCTACTTTAAGCTTTAGCTATAGCCGCTTTTCTTCCATCTCCGCCAGAAAACTTTTCCTCAAAAGTTGAATAGTTTCTTGTAAAATGTCTCTCAGCTTTCCGCTGTTTTACGAGGCTGAAGTCGCTTCTTATTCTCCAGCTTCTTGCTGAACTTTCCCGTTCCACCTTAAATTCTGCCTGAGGCGCCGAATGTAAATACGGCACCATTTAAGGTGGAACGGGAAAATTAGAAAGAGAAGCGACTTCATCTTCGCCACTTTGTAGTGTTTGAGAGTCTCTCGTTGCAGATTTAATGTACCAGGAAACTGCGCTGCTTATAAATGCGAATAAGTCCATTCATCTCCCAATGTTCGTCCGTCTTTCTCTTTTCCTTTTTCTTTCGCTACTCGCCAGGCGAAACCTCGTTGCTATGTGACCTGCAGTCTTTCGCTCCCCTCCCCCCCCCATCATGAGACCAAAACCGAAGTTATGAACTCCCTAAAGACTATATAAAGTGCTGCGTGGTCATCCATTACCACTGGACCTTATTTCACCGTAACAGCGCATTTTATCGCAGATGAGTGGCAGCAGCGTCTCATGTGCTCCAAACAGCAGTGAATGAGAGTCTTCCATTTCACTTGCCACATCACTTCCATTTGTTTCATTAATAAAAGATATTGGACGTAAATTCATTATGGATCATTACAAATACTTTGCTTCAAAACTACCAAGTCCTCAGACAGTGAGAAAATAGAAATCATGTAGAGAAAAAAAAGATGCAGCGATAATCGTTTTATAATCGCATCGCAGCCTCTGAAACGTAATCGAATTGAATCATGAGGTGCCTAAAGATTCCCATCCCTACAGTGTATAGTAGAGTGACAGTGTGGCAAGTTAAAAAAATTGTACTTACTTAACGTAGAGTGATACTACTCTATGTTACTAGTACTAGTAATAACTATAGTTGTACATGATTTGTTGCTCAGTAGCTCATAAACAGAATAATTCATCTGTGGTAAAATCATAACTCTGGAGTCATTTGAGAATTCATGTGTAAAAAGTAGGAAAATGATGGTGAATCCATGATAAAGAGTATTAACAGACATAAAGCTCAGCTCTTCTCTTTAATAGAGAATCTACCAGTAGCTCTTATTATAGTGATCTGAGATCGACTGGCTATGCCTCGATCCAGACAGTAGGGGGCGATCACAGGCTTTTCCTTATTCTAGATGAAGCCATATATGGGAAAACTGCACTGGTGTTTACAGTGGTCTTTTACTCCCTCTATTCAGGGGGTAATAAATATTATCCATGATACTGTACTCACCTCAGTTCAGGTGAAGACTCTCCCTGTTTGAAGGTTATGGCTCTACCCATTGACTCATCACTCTTCATAGACACACAGCTGGGCTCAGGAGAGTCTGGTCTCTTACTGTGAAAGTGACTAAAACACATTCAACCATCTGTTAAGAGCTGTAGACTTTAATGCGTCTCCCACCATCACACAATGACTTCATCTCTTATTACACTCAGTAATTTCTCTAAACACTCTTTGGAGAAGGTAAAGTGTTCATTTTAGGCCTTGAAAGTCTTTAAAACTTTACTTTCTTCTTTGGTGCTTTTGACACAGTATTAATCAAAATAAGAGCTCAACCTTCAGAAAATGATATTTTCCCACATCAGGCTGTCAAATTAGATACTATATAAGCCATTTTACCCATTAATGAATGGGTAACAGGGCTGAACACAGAGATCATATTCCCCATTACGCTTATATTAATGCAGTAAAATCACATATAAAGTAAGTTGAAAAATTGTTTTAATCAAAATGTTTTCATTAAATTATTTGTTTTTAATCCATTTTCATTTCATTTTCATTTAAATTCATTAATGGATAAAAACTGGGTAACATGGTTGTGAATTTAGTCTAAAAAAAGGAGCACTCAGGAGTTGTTAGCTTGACAGGGGGCACATGCTGCATGCTAACTACTAATTACCATATAGTTCACATAAATGAAAAAATACATATTTTTTTCTAACAATAATTTTGGTAACAGTGTTGAATAGTCAAGCTTTACTGCAGCCAGATCAGCTTTTTGTGTGTAAATGGAGAAAACAGAATGAAAATACTGACTTGTTTGATGGTCTTTCTGCAGAAAACAAGGAGATGATGCAAATTCCTGTTTATATCATAATAAATGGAACGTCCCATTTTTTAATGTGGGGAACAGGTTTGGGTAACAGGGGTGCGCATAAAATGTGGGACACAGGTTAAAATGACTTTTTGTTAAAATAAAATAATAAAGGAAAAATATAGCCGCAAGCGGCAATGAGCGGGTCCAAGCACGCATAAGCACAAGAAGCTCTCGTGCACTTTGAGCCAAATAGGCCTAATCAGGCCTCATGCAGTTTGGGCCTTACAGGCATAGAGGCTGAAATGAGTTCATCAAAAGGCCTTCATTTGTCATGAACCATTTTACTTTCAACATATGTTTACATTTCTATGGACTGATCTACAAAGGTTTGTAGAACATGCAAAGGATTATCAGCACAGATGTCAAAAATACATGAGCAATGGTAAAATATCTGTCCCAGCTGTGTTTGCAAGGGGTTTTGTTTCTCCATGTTTAAGGCTTTGATAATCAGGCCATAATGAGACCCAGTGCACTCATAAGGGGCCCTTTTGGCACAAAGGAGCTCACTGAAAGTGGTTTAGAATTGGTCAAAAGGTCTCCATATGTTATGATAATTGATCAGGGAACTTGATCAAAGCTGTTCACTGAGTTATGTTCAGTTTGACCTTTTGACCTTAGTATAATAAGCTGTAATTGTTGAAGGAATAATTCAAAATACTACACAAGGAGTGAAATATTTGACCTAACATGTAATTACAAAGTTATTCAGGTCAGTGAACTGAATCAAATGGCACCATGTGTTTATCTGTAGACTTTGTAATAACACTGTAATAGCATCTTTAATGATTTTTGGGGTTTTTGACAGCTAAGGCGCCCTCTAAAGGTCATACCTGGACCAAGTTTTGCACACCCTGTCTGAGTCTCAATATATACAAGTACTCAAACTTTTGAGATGATAAAACCAAAGACTGATGAGTTATAGCAAATCAAGCTGGCTATGCCATGGCCGCAGTGATGTATCGATGGAGCAACACCAGGTCGAGTGAAAAAGTCAATATTTTTTTGACAATTATTTACCTAGAGAGGCCACAGAGTATTTCTAGACCAAAGAGTTAACGATTACAAAAAAACTATGCATTTTTATAATAAACATGCAATGGTAAAATTGTTTGGCATACTGTACTACATAAGATTCATACAGAGCTTGGGTCAAAAATAGTAATAATATGTTTATATCATGTAATAATATATGGTTTTTTATGAATAGCGCCCCGCAGTGGCCAAATCTGTTGAAACTGCTTGTTAGAAAGGGGCTACATGTAGACACCATTCAAGTTTCGTCATGATTGGTCAATGTTAAGCCTGTCAAAAGCCTGCTGAATGCTGATTGGCTGATGGCGGTCATAAATTTCAATGAATCAAATTATCCTTCAAGATTCACTTATAGTCTGTCTAGTAGATGCTACATGCCAAGTTTCAGCTCAATCGGATGCACGGATGCTGAGAAACAGTTAATTGGCAATTGCCCCGCCCCCTAATGACGTATGCCCACCAAAATTCATATGCTACCACAGAATCTGGTCCTAAATGTGCATGTCAAGTTTCAATGGTTAAGGCAGAAGCATTCTACACTTATAGAGTTTTAAATGAATTATGAGCTATTTCAGAAGGGTTCATTAGCATATGGCAGCTCAAAAGTTGAATGTGGCAGCTCAAAAGTTGAATGTGGCAGCTCAAAAGTTGAATAGTTTCTTGTAAAATGTCTCTCAGCTTTCCGCTGTTTTACGAGGCTGAAGTCGCTTCTTATTCTCCAGCTTCTTGCTGAACTTTCCCGTTCCACCTTAAATTCTGCCTGAGGCGCCGAATGTAAATACGGCACCATTTAAGGTGGAACGGGAAAATTAGAAAGAGAAGCGACTTCATCTTCGCCACTTTGTAGTGTTTGAGAGTCTCTCGTTGCAGATTTAATGTACCAGGAAACTGCGCTGCTTATAAATGCGAATAAGTCCATTCATCTCCCAATGTTCGTCCGTCTTTCTCTTTTCCTTTTTCTTTCGCTACTCGCCAGGCGAAACCTCGTTGCTATGTGACCTGCAGTCTTTCGCTCCCCATCATGAGACCAAAACCGAAGTTATGAAATGACATGATTTGTTGCTCAGTAGCTCATAAATAGAATAATTCATCTGTGGTAAAATCATAACTCTGGAGTCATTTGAGAATTCATGTGTAAAGAAAGTAGGAAAATGATGGTGAATCCATGATAAAGAGTATTAACAGACATAAAGCTTAGCTCTTCTCTTAAATAGAGAATCTACCAGTAGCTCTTATTATAGTGATCTGAGATCGACTGGCTATGCCTCGATCCAGACAGTAGGGGGCGATCACAGGCTTTTCCTCATTCTAGATAAAGCCATCTATGGGGAAACTGCACTGGTGTTTACAGTGGTCTTTTACTCCCTCTATTCAGGGTGGTAATAAATATTATCCATGATACTGTACTCACCTCAGTTCAGGTGAAGACTCTCCCTGTTTGAAGTATATGCCTCTACCCATTGACTGATCACTCTTCATAGACACACAGCTGGGCTCAGGAGAGTCTGGTCTCTTACTGTGAACCAGACTAAAACACATTCAACCATCTGTTAAGAGCTGTAGTCTTTAATGCGTCTCCCACCATCACACAATGACTTCATCTCTTATTACACTCAGTAATTTCTCTAAACACTCTTTGGAGAAGGTAAAGTGAAAGTTGATACCAAGTGACACACATGTATTACACACTTTCTGAGAACAGAGCTCATTTTAGGCCTTGAATCTCTTTAAAACTTTACTTTCTTCTTTGGTGTTTTTGACACAGTATTAATCAAAATAAGAGCTCAACCTTCAGAAAATGTTATTTTCCCACATCAGGCTGTCAAATTAGATACTATATAAGCCATTTTACCCATTAATGAATGGGTAACAGGGCTGAACACAGAGATCATATTCCCCATTACGCTTATATTAATGCAGTAAAATCACATATAAAGTAAGTTGAAAAATTGTTTTAATCAAAATGTTTTCATTAAATTATTTGTTTTTAATCCATTTTCATTTCATTTTCGTTTAAATTCATTAATGGATAAAAACTGGGTAACATGGTTGTGAATTTAGTCTAAAATAAGCAGCACTCAGGAGTTGTTAGCTTGACAGGGGGCACATGCTGCATGCTAACTACTAATTACCATATAGTTCACATAAATGAAAAAATACATATTTTTTTTCTAACAATAATTTTGGTAACAGTGTTGAATAGTCAAGCTTTACTGCAGCCAGATCAGCTTTTTGTGTGTAAATGGAGAAAACAGAATGAAAATACTGACTTGTTTGATGGTCTTTCTGCAGAAAACAAGGAGATGATGCAAATTCCTGTTTATATCATAATAAATGGAACGTCCCATTTTTTAATGTGGGGAACAGGTTTGGGTAACAGGGGTGCACATAAAATGTGGGACACAGGTTAAAATGACTTTTTGTTAAAATAAAATAATAAAGAAAAAATATAGCCGCAAGCGGCAATGAGCGGGTCCAAGCACGCATAAGCACAAGAAGCTCTCATGCACTTTGAGCCAAATAGGCCTAATCAGGCCTCATGCAGTTTGGGCCTGACAGGCATAGAGGCTGAAATGAGTTCATCAAAAGGCCTTCATTTGTCATGAACCATTTTACTTTCAACATATGTTTACATTTCTATGGACTGATCTACAAAGGTTTGTAGAACATGCAAAGGATTATCAACACAGATGTCAAAAATACATGAGCAATGGTAAAATATCTGTCCCAGCTGTGTTTGCAAGGGGTTTTGTTTCTCCATGTTTAAGGCTTTGATAATCAGGCCATAATGAGACCCAGTGCACTCATAAGGGGCCCTTTTGGCAGAGAGGAGCTCACTGAAAGTGGTTTAGAATTGGTCAAAAGGTCTCCACATGTTATGATAATTGATCAGGGAACTTGATCAAAGCTGTTCACTGAGTTATGTTCAGATTGACCTTTTGACCTTAGTATAATAAGCTGTAATTGTTGAAGGAATAATTCAAAATACTACACAAGGAGTGAAATATTTGACCTAACATGTAATTACAAAGTTATTCAGGTCAGTGAACTGAATCAAATGGCACCATGTGTTTATCTGTAGACTTTGTAATAACACTGTAATAGCATCTTTAATGATTTTTGGGGTTTTTGACAGCTAAGGCGCCCTCTAAAGGTCATACTTGGACCAAGTTTTGCACACCCTGTCTGAGTCTCAATATATACAAGTACTCAAACTTTTGAGATGATACAACCAAAGACTGATGAGTTATAGCAAATCAAGCTGGCTATGCCATGGCCGCAGTGATGTATTGATGGAGCAACACCAGGTCGAGTGAAAAAGTCAATATTTTTTTGACAATTATTTACCTAGAGAGGCCACAGAGTATTTCTAGACCAAAGAGTTAACGATTACAAAAAAACTATGCATTTTTATAATAAACATGCAATGGTAAAATTGTTTGGCATACTGTACTACATAAGATTCATACAGAGCTTGGGTCAAAAATAGTAATAATATGTTTATATCATGTAATAATATATGTTTTTTTATGAATAGCGCCCCCCAGTGGCCAAATCTGTTGAAACTGCTTGTTAGAAAGGGGCTACATGTAGACACCATGCAAGTTTCGTCATGATTGGTCAATGTTAAGCCTGTCAAAAGCCTGCTGAATGCTGATTGGCTGATGGCGGTCATACATTTCAATGAATCAAATTATCCTTCAAGATTCACTTATAGTCTGTCTAGTAGATGCTACATGCCAAGTTTCAGCTCAATCGGATGCACGGATGCTGAGAAACAGTTAATTGGCAATTGCCCCGCCCCCTAATGACGTATGCCCACCAAAATTCATATGCTACCACAGAATCTGGTCCTAAATGTGCACGTCAAGTTTCAATGGTTAAGGCAGAAGCATTCTCCACTTATAGAGTTTTAAATGAATTATGAGCTATTTCAGAAGGGTTCATTAGCATATGGCAGCTCAAAAGTTGAATGTGGCAGCTCAAAAGTTGAATGTGGCAGCTCAAAAGTTGAATGTGGCAGCTCAAAAGTTGAATGTGGCAGCTCAAAAGTTGAATGTGGCAGCTCAAAAGTTGAATGTGGCAGCTCAAAAGTTGAATAGTTTCTTGTAAAATGTCTCTCAGCTTTCCGCTGTTTTACGAGGCTGAAGTCGCTTCTTATTCTCCAGCTTCTTGCTGAACTTTCCCGTTCCACCTTAAATTCTGCCTGAGGCGCCGAATGTAAATACGGCACCATTTAAGGTGGAACGGGAAAATTAGAAAGAGAAGCGACTTCATCTTCGCCACTTTGTAGTGTTTGAGAGTCTCTCGTTGCAGATTTAATGTACCAGGAAACTGCGCTGCTTATAAATGCGAATAAGTCCATTCATCTCCCAATGTTCGTCCGTCTTTCTCTTTTCCTTTTTCTTTCGCTACTCGCCAGGCGAAACCTCGTTGCTATGTGACCTGCAGTCTTTCGCTCCCCATCATGAGACCAAAACCGAAGTTATGAAATCCCTAAAGACTATATAAAGTGCTGCGTGGTCATCCATTACCACTGGACCTTATTTCACCGTAACAGCGCATTTTATCACAGATGAGTGGCAGCAGCGTCTCATGTGCTCCAAACAGCAGTGAATGAGAGTCGTCCATTTCACTTGCCACATCACTTCCATTTGTTTCATTAATAAAAGATATTGGACGTAAATTCATTATGGATCATTACAAATACTTTGCTTCAAAACTACCAAGTCCTCAGACAGTGAGACAATAGAAATCATGTAGAGAAAAAAAAGATGCAGCGATAATCGTTTTATAATCGCATCGCAGCCTCTGAAACGTAATCGAATTGAATCATGAGGTGCCTAAAGATTCCCATCCCTAGAGTGTATAGTAGAGTGACAGTGTGGCAAGTTAAAAAAATGTACTTACTTAACGTAGAGTGATACTACTCTATGTTACTAGTACTAGTAATAACTATAGTGGTACATGATTTAATAAATATTATCCATGATACTGTACTCACCTCAGTTCAGGTGGAGACTCTCCCTGTTTGAAGGCTGTGGGTATGTCCATTGACGCGTCACTCTTCATAGACACACAGCTGGGCTCAGGAGAGTCTGGTCTCTTACTGTGAACCAGACTAAAACACATTCAACCATCTGTTAAGATCTGTAGTCTTTAATGCGTCTCCCTCCATCACACAATGACTTCATCTCTTATTACACTCAGTAATTTCTCTAAACACTCTTTGGAGAAGGTAAAGTGAAAGTTGATACTTTTTCCTTTTACGTTTGACCGACACTCGTCCAAGTGACACACATGTATTACACACTTTCTGAGAACAGAGTTCATTTTAGGCCTTGAATCTCTTTAAAACTTTACTTTCTTCTTTGGTGTTTTTGACACAGTATTAATCAAAGTAAGAGCTCAACCTTCAGAAAATGTTATTTTCCCACATCAGGCTGTCAAATTAGATACTATATAAGCCATTTTACCCATTAATGAATGGGTATCAGGGCTGAACACAGAGATCATATTCCCCATTACGCTTATATTAATGCAGTAAAATCACATATAAAGTAAGTTGAAAAATTGTTTTAATCAAAATGTTTTCATTAAATTATTTGTTTTTAATCCATTTTCATTTCATTTTCATTTAAATTCATTAATGGATAAAAACTGGGTAACATGGTTGTGAATTTAGTCTAAAAAAAGGAGCACTCAGGAGTTGTTAGCTTGACAGGGGGCACATGCTGCATGCTAACTACTAATTACCATATAGTTCACATAAATGAAAAAATACATATTTTTTTTCTAACAATAATTTTGGTAACAGTGTTGAATAGTCAAGCTTTACTGCAGCCAGATCAGCTTTTTGTGTGTAAATGGAGAAAACAGAATGAAAATACTGACTTGTTTGATGGTCTTTCTGCAGAAAACAAGGAGATGATGCAAATTCCTGTTTATATCATAATAAATGGAACGTCCCATTTTTTAACGTGGGGAACAGGTTTGGGTAACAGGGGTGCACATAAAATGTGGGACACAGGTTAAAATGACTTTTTGTTAAAATAAAATAATAAAGAAAAAATATAGCCGCAAGCGGCAATGAGCGGGTCCAAGCACGCATAAGCACAAGAAGCTCTCGTGCACTTTGAGCCAAATAGGCCTAATCAGGCCTCATGCAGTTTGGGCCTTACAGGCATAGAGGCTGAAATGAGTTCATCAAAAGGCCTTCATTTGTCATGAACCATTTTACTTTCAACATATGTTTACATTTCTATGGACTGATCTACAAAGGTTTGTAGAACATGCAAAGGATTATCAACACAGTTGTCAAAAATACATGAGCAATGGTAAAATATCTGTCACAGCTGTGTTTGCAAGGGGTTTTGTTTCTCCATGTTTAAGGCTTTGATAATCAGGCCATAATGAGACCCAGTGCACTCATAAGGGGCCCTTTTGGCACAAAGGAGCTCACTGAAAGTGGTTTAGAATTGGTCAAAAGGTCTCCACATGTTATGATAATTGATCAGGGAACTTGATCAAAGCTGTTCACTGAGTTATGTTCAGATTGACCTTTTGACCTTAGTATAATAGGCTGTAATTGTTGAAGGAATAATTCAAAATACTACACAAGGAGTGAAATATTTGACCTAACATGTAATTACAAAGTTATTCAGATCAGTGAACTGAATCAAATGGCACCATGTGTTTATCTGTAGACTTTGTAATAACACTGAAATAGCATCTTTAATGATTTTTGGGGTTTTTGACAGCTAAGGCGCCCTCTAAAGGTCATACTTGGACCAAGTTTTGCACACCCTGTCTGAGTCTCAATATATACAAGTACTCAAACTTTTGAGATGATACAACCAAAGACTGATGAGTTATAGCAAATCAAGCTGGCTATGCCATGGCCGCAGTGATGTATTGATGGAGCAACACCAGGTCGAGTGAAAAAGTCAATATTTTTTTGATAATTATTTACCTAGAGAGGCCACAGAGTATTTCTAGACCAAATTGGAGAAGTTTGGATCAAAACTCGGAGACTAGTTCGAAAAGCATGGTTTTCAAACAGCTAACGATTACAAAAAAACTATGCATTTTTATAATAAACATGCAATGGTAAAATTGTTTGGCATACTGTACTACATAAGATTCATACAGAGCTTGGGTCAAAAATAGTAATGATATGTTTATATCATGTAATAATATATGGTTTTTTATGAATAGCGCCCCCCAGTGGCCAAATCTGTTGAAACTTCACTGCTTGTTAGAAAGGGGCTACATGTAGACACCATGCAAGTTTCGTCATGATTGGTCAATGTTAAGCCTGTCAAAAGCCTGCTGAATGCTGATTGGCTGATGGCGGTCATACATTTCAATGAATTAAATTATCCTTCAAGATTCACTTATAGTCTGTCTAGTAGATGCTACATGCCAAGTTTCAGCTCAATCAGATGGACGGATGCTGAGAAACAGTTAATTGGCAATTGCCCCGCCCCCTAACGACGTATGCCCACCAAAATTGATATGCTACCACAGAATCTGGTCCTAAATGTGCATGTCAAGTTTCAAAGGTTAAGGCAGAAGCATTCTCCACTTATAGAGTTTTAAATGGATTATGAGCTATTTCAGAAGGGTTCATTAGCATATGGCAGCTCAAAAGCTGAACGTGGCAGCTCAAAAGTTGAATGTGGCAGCTCAAAAGTTGAATGTGGCAGCTCAAAAGTTGAATAGTTTCTTGTAAAATGTCTCTCAGCTTTCCGCTGTTTTACGAGGCTGAAGTCGCTTCTTATTCTCCAGCTTCTTGCTGAACTTTCCCGTTCCACCTTAAATTCTGCCTGAGGCGCCGAATGTAAATACGGCACCATTTAAGGTGGAACGGGAAAATTAGAAAGAGAAGCGACTTCATCTTCGCCACTTTTCAGTGTTTGAGAGTCTCTCGTTGCAGATTTAATGTACCAGGAAACTGCGCTGCTTATAAATGCGAATAAGTCCATTCATCTCCCAATGTTCGTCCGTCTTTCTCTTTTCCTTTTTCTTTCGCTACTCGCCAGGCGAAACCTCGTTGCTATGTGACCTGCAGTCTTTCGCCCAATCATGAGACCAAAACCGAAGTTATGAACTCCCTAAAGACTATATAAAGTGCTGCGTGGTCATCCATTACCACTGGACCTTATTTCACCGTAACAGCGCATTTTATCACAGATGAGTGGCAGCAGCGTCTCATGTGCTCCACACAGCAGTGAATGAGAGTCGTCCATTTCACTTGCCACATCACTTCCATTTGTTTCATTAATAAAAGATATTGGACGTAAATTCATTATGGATCATTACAAATACTTTGCTTTAAAACTACCAAGTCCTCAGACAGTGAGAAAATAGAAATCATGTAGAGAAAAAAAAGATGCAGCGATAATCGTTTTATAATCGCATCGCAGCCTCTGAAACGTAATCGAATCGAATCGTGAGGTGCCTAAAGATTCCCATCCCTAGAGTGTATAGTAGAGTGACAGTGTGGCAAGTTAAAAAAATGTACTTACTTAACGTAGAGTGATACTACTCTATGTTACTAGTACTAGTCATAACTATAGTTGTACATGATTTGTTGCTCAGTAGCTCATAAACAGAATAATTCATCTGTGGTAAAATCATAACTCTGGAGTCATTTGAGAATTCATGTGTAAGAAGTAGGAAAATGATGGTGAATCCATGATAAAGAGTATTAACAGACATAAAGCTTAGCTCTTCTCTTAAATAGAGAATCTACCAGTAGCTCTTATTATAGTGATCTGAGATCGACTGGCTATGCCTCGATCCAGACAGTAGGGGGCGATCACAGGCTTTTCCTCATTCTAGATAAAGCCATCTATGGGGAAACTGCACTGGTGTTTACAGTGGTCTTTTACTCCCTCTATTCAGGGGGTAATAAATATTCTCCATGATACTGTACTCACCTCAGTTCAGGTGAAGACTCTCCCTGTTTGAAGGTTATGGCTCTACCCATTGACTCATCACTCTTCATAGACACACAGCTGGGCTCAGGAGAGTCTGGTCTCTTACTCTGAATCAGACTAAAACACATTCAACCATCTGTTAAGAGCTGTAGTCTTTAATGCGTCTCCCACCATCACACAATGACTTCATCTCTTATTACACTCAGTAATTTCTCTAAACACTCTTTGGAGAAGGTAAAGTGAAAGTTGATACTTCTTCCTTTTACGTCATATTCCCCATTAATCTGATATTAATGCAGTAAAAGCACATATAAAGTAAGTTAATTAAAAATTAATTGAAATTTAAGGTGGAATGGGAAAATTCAAGGAATCTGGTGAATAGGAAGCCAACTTTAGCTTAGTCTAAATCACCATATCAGAAAATGCTACCAGCACTAAAACCACGGGTAAATTTCCCAGTTTGAATTTTCCCCACAGGGATCACAATTGTTTGTTGAGGAACGTTCTTAAACAGTTGGACCTCCACCCGTCCTTGAATCCTTGACAATTTTTGAGATGCGCTGCTGCCATCAAGTTCTAAATGAGTTAATGTTTTTCATGAAATGGTAAAATGTCTCACTTTCAACATCTGATGTGTGCTCCATGTTATATTGTGAATAAAAAATGGGTCTATGAGATTTGAAAATCATTGTATTCTGTTTTTATTTACATTTATTTACATTTTTCACTGCGTCCCAATTTTTTTGAAATTGAGGTTGTACTAAAACTGTAAAGTTCACAAGATAAAATATTAAATAACTCTTCTTTGAACTGTTTTCAATTAAATATGTATAAAACAAATCAGTACTTTTTGTTTTTCTTTTCATTTTACCTACTGTGCCAACGTTTTTTGGAACTGGGTTTGTAATACAGATTAGTGGTGCAGGAAACATGGAGCAGTTTGGTGAAGCAGTTAGCAGTAAGAAGTTAAGCTCAAGGGTAAAATGACAGTAGTCGCTATTATCAGTGAAATATCCTGACCAATTTCTCTGACCACTGAGATACTCTCTGTTTTCTCTATTCTCTATTCACTTTTCTAAGATTCACATCCAGGTGCAGGAGAGTCTCATAGTTTTGGTCAATGTAACAACATTCATGCTTCATGTAAAGTCTCACCTCTCAAGTTTCACTGTGTCATGTTCCCCAAGGAGGCTCATTTTGGAGGTCAACCTTCCTCCTAAAAATGAAAATATTAAACATTACCTTAGAATTATGTTACTTGAATCTTCAGCAGGAGCTACAGAAACACTAAACATATGAGAAAAGACTGTTTGGTTAATGTTTACACAAAGAAACAGTGCAGAATAAATACAGGTGTTACTCATAATAATGCATTTTGTTTTGTAAAACATAACCTATTAAGGTAAAACATAAAAGGAAAAACTTACTAAAAGCATGAGGAAGAACCACTTGTTGATGATACAAAAGCGAATTACTCCACACACAGTAGTCCAATATTCAGAAAGGGTTGTACTACCAGCTGTGCTGATGTGTGTTTCTAAGTGTTAAGTGGTTCCTGAGTTATGAAACCCCCCCAAAAAATGTCTGCTAAATGCATTTAGCCATTCAAGGGAGTTTAAACCAGTTAAAACTGTAGTTTAGAGTAATCAAGTAACTTGAAAACATTTGTGAAATGACTCAGATACATCGTTGGAAATAAACTGTACAGACAAAACTAAAACTAAACATGAAATTATATGAAGAGGTTTGAGTCTTGATCACAGATCACAGACTGATCACAGTTCGCTCCGCTAGTGCAGATTAAAAACTCTCTCTGTGAGTTTTTAATCTGCACTAGCGGAGCAAGGTTTACATGAAGCTACATGCATTTCATGGTTAGATGATTATATAGGACTTCCTAGCTTATCTGTTTGTAACAAAACAGCTTAGAATCTCTGAAAGTCTGTGGAGAGTTTGTTACAGATTAATTAGGTCTGTATTTTAAAAAAGTACTTGATTAAAAGTCAAATTCATGAGAAAATTACTCACTTAATAATGTATTTTTAGTGACAGTCCTACTGCTGTTTAGCTCCATGAACTTCTAGAGACTGTTACATATACAGCCGTCACACTGTATAGATTTATTAATACTGGAACATTTCTATCATTAAAATCATTAGCAACTACAGCAGTTTATCCATTTTTAATTGTCTTTACTGGTTTATATTCCTCTGGTGACCAGACTGATTACTTCACACAGTGATGAACTGACCAAATGAAAGTCTCTGATGATGTATTGTCTGTAAGATGAGGAGTAAATGTATTTTTCTAGATGCATATTTAAGTTTAATAAATAGCCGCCAGTTTATTCTATAAGAACAAAGTAAGAAGACAATAGTACACACAGTGTTTAGCTAAGATTAACTAGCTAGTCAGCTGCCTCCTCAGGCAGAAGCTGAGCTGTGAAAAGCTGAGATCTGGGGAGGTTCTGTGTTTAGCAGCTGATACTAACACAATTTCATTAAGCTCATTTGAAAATGAATGAAGATGACGGTTTGGATAAAGTCTGTTCCTGCTAAAATATGTGCTGCTGACGTCCTCCTCTTTCTGTCTCCACTAACCTGGATGTCTCTGTAGTGTTCTTGCAGCTGGGAGCTGCTCTGGTTTGCTATGTTTTTTGACTGGATTTCTGAACAGAGTCTTTTAAATTTAACCAGACTTTCTTCTGATATGCTCATCATTTATTTTGAGTCTGTGACAGAAAATAAGTACAATTATTTGATTTAATTTTACTCCAAAAAGTACTGTTACAGGGAAAAACGTACTCAAGTACAGTAACGACAATATGTAATTTGTTATTTTCAACTTCTGCTAATGCTGAAACTCACATCACTGATGATAAAATATGATATATTCTGCTGCTCTAGTCTATTGGCCCATGTTTTCTGATCCAGTTATAACCTACTCTGCTTAACACAGATCACTTTTTTTAAAATCACTTTTTAAATTATGAGGCTATTAAGCTTCATCAAATATCTGATGTTGTCATTTACTTACCACCTAAATGTCGATGCTTCAGTCTTCGTCCAAGATCTTCCATCTCATTGTCTGTGTCGGTGTATCCTCTACCCCCATTGGCTGCTCCCAGTTTTTCCATCTTTGCTATAAGTTGTCTCACATTGTTGCCTGATTGACTCTTTCCTGCACCTACAACTTTGAGGTCCTGCTGCCCTGAAAAAAATAAATGAAGATATTCAAACTCAGATTTTCACAACTCATCACAATTTCTTTTGGCAAGTCAATTAGGGCATCCAATTTGTTCACATCAGATTATTATCAGATCATTTTAAAACAATCGACTACAGACAGATTTATTTCAGCTTTAATTCACTACATCAGATTTCCACTGGGTCAAAAGTTTACATACACCAAGTAAAAACAGTCTGGCAGATTCCAGACATTGATGCAGTGACATTCAGAAGCCACTTGTCATAATTAGGAGTTAACTGGGTGAGCATCTGTGGCTGTACCTGTGGGCCTATCTTACCTTGCCTTTAATGCCATGGAAAAATCAAGAGGAGACCTCAGACCAAAACTGTGGACCTCCACAAGTCCAGTTTATTTTTATATGTTTATTTTACCCCCATGCACAGTGAAAAGGATGTTTAGAGAGACAAACATTTCTCTAATGATCACAGCATTTTGGATCACAAAGTCTCCAACAAAATTAAATGAAGCTGCCAACTGTATATCAAAAAACTTTTTGGAAGACGTGCCAGATGAAAGCTGTTCCTCTGATCAGATGATACAAAAAATAGAGCTTTCTGGAAACAAACACTCAAGATGTGTTTGGCGTGAAAAGAGAATGGTTATACAGAAAAGAACCTAATCCCCACTCTTAAGTGTGGTGGGGTATCTGTGATGTTTATGGGCTGTTTAACCTCTTAAGGCCCTATACAATTTATTAGATACATGGCATTTTAAGAGACTTAAATTCTAAAAGCTAAAAGTGGATCGTGGTTGGATCTTCCGGAACACGGCTGCATCCACACAAATGGTTCAACTACCACAGAATCAAGCTTTCATCATGTCCATCCCCGGCACCTGACCTAAACTGCACTGAAAACCTGGGAGGTGTTCTGAAGAGGAGAATTCAAAAGAGAGGACGTAGAACCCCAGAGGATCTGGAGAGATTGTGTGTTGAGCAGTGCTCTCAGATTCCTCGCACTGTGTTCTCCAATCTGAAAAAGCATTAGAACAGTAACTGTGACACCTGTTGTTCTGGAGAAAAATTTATAATTTTTGTCTTTGACAAAATTTACTTTAAATAAAGTCCTAAACAGGTCAGTGCGCATTCTTACTTTAATTAAAGGTTAGGTGTCTTTCATATTTTCAGCATGAGGCAATTAATCACAAAGACCTCATTTGTGAAAAGGGGCTGGATATTACAGCAAGACAATGATCCAAGACATACATCAAAATCAACCTTGAATTACTTCAAGAAATAAAAGTTTTTTTGTTTTTTTTTTCAATTTTTACCCGGTTTTCTCCCCAATTTAGTGGTCTCCAATTCCACCCGCTAGTTAGGACTCCCCCAATCACACGGTACTATCAACGCTAGGAGGGTGAAGGCTAACACAGGCTTCCTCCGAGACCTGTGAAGCTCCACCGCTTCTTTTCGAGCTGCCGCTCACACAACGTCACTGGACAGCCGAACGCGCTCGGAGGAAAGCGCCAACCGCCAGATCTGCTGCGTCAGCTAACGGACGCCTGCGCTGACTAGCATCGCGCTGAGTGAGTGATGGGGGGTGAGGGGGGCCATCCTACCCACCCAGAGAGAGCGAGGCCAATTGGGCTCTCTCGGACTCCCAGCTACGGATGGCTGTAGCATCACCAGGAATCGAACTCGTGATCTCCTGATGATAGGGCCAACGTTATGATAGGGTTTCTGATTAAGTTTACATACAAAGACTATAGATTATTTCTGAACTAGAAGTGTTCTGTAAAGACAAATGGAAAATATCCTAAATCACAAAGAGCAGAAAGACTGTTAGCTGGCTAAAAGAAATATTTGGAGGCTGTGATTTCAGCCAAAGGGGGTGTTACTATATATCAGAGGTGGTCACGTCCCAAGTCAGGACAGTTGAGTCTCAAATCAAGTCCTGATTCGGTACAGGCAAGTCTCAATTTGTGTCCCAACTCAGTACGTCAAGTGCTTAGTCCTTAACTTCGAGTTCTAAACAGGCCAGTGTGTATTCTTCAATAAATGTACTGAACTTTCAACACTGAACAACTGAAAACCAAAATTTATGGTAATATAGCCCATTTAATGACAGCATGTTAGTAGTGAATATTATGATTTTTTGTTTTTATCCTTCCAAAACTATTAATAAATGTTTACATGGATAACAGACACTAATGGTGAACACAAAGAGTGCAAAGAGTGAAATTGCGTTTCTCTCAGACCCCATGGTGTAGCGATAACATTAAATACACAGCAAACAGGAAAAGTGTGTCAAACTTTTGAATTTAACAATAAAAAACTTCATAGTTGGTGATGGTAGTTTTTGATTTGTGGGGCTCTGGGAGCAAGGGGGGTCTGGATTCATGAGGGGAGCATATTAGAGGTGCCAGTCTGCAGCTGCTGCACCATTTAAGGTGGAATGAAAAATTGAAATATGAGGCTAATGAATGAAAAGCCAAATTCATCTTCACTTGTGTTCTAAAATAAAATAAGCCAAGTAAGAGCACAGTAACAGATACAGTGCTGTAAAAAAGTATTTGCCCTCACCTGATTTCTTCTTTTTTGCTAATTTGTCATTTAAATGTTTCAAAACATTCAACTGATTTTAATATAAGACAAAGACAACGCGAGTAACACAAAATGCAGCTTTTAAATGATCATTCCATTTATTGAAGATGGGGATTTATTCAAAATCTGTATCACCCATGTGAAAAAGTAATTGCCCCCTAAACCCAATAACTGGTTGTGCCACGCTTGGCAGTAACAACTGCAATCAAACGATTGCGATAACTTGTGATGAGTCTTTTACATCATTGTAGAGGAATTCTGGCCAACTCTTCTTTGCAGAATTGTTCTAATTTGACTACATTGGAGGGTTTTTGAGCATGAACTGACCATTTAAGTTTTGAGATGGGATTCAGGTCAGCTCTTTGACTCGGCTACTCCAAAACCTTAATTTTATTTCTTTTGAGCCATTCAGAGCTGGACTTGCTTGTCTGTGTCAGATCATTGTCCTGCTGCAAAACACAACTGTGCTTGAACTTTAGGTCACAAACTTGACTGACATCCTCTATCAGGATTTATGGTTCCATCAGTTATGACGAGTCGTCCAGATCCTGCAGAAGCAAAGCAGCCCCAGGCCATCACACCACCACCAAAATGTTTTACTGTCAGTATGATTTTCTTATGGTGGAATGCAGTGTTAGCCTTACGCCAGATGTAATGGGACCTATGTCTTTCAAAAAGTTCCACCTTTGACTCATCAGTCCTCAGAATATTACATTAATATAAATTATTTTAATATATATGATTCATTCACCTTAACTGAGGCAAGTTAGGCCTGCAATTTAAATGTTTGTCTGGGCTCTTTTGTGACCTCCTGGATGAGTCGTCAATGTGGTCTTGGTTAAAATTTTGGCAGGCCGGCCACTCCTGGGTAGGTTCACCACTGTTCCAAGTTTTCTGGATTTGTGGATAATGGATCTCACTGTGGTTTGCTGGAGTCCCAGAGCCTTAGCAGTGGCTTTGTAACCCTTTCCAGACTGGTAGACTTCAATGACTTTCGCATCTGTATTTGAATCTCTTTAGAACACAGCATCATGTGCTGCTTTTCGAGACTTTCTAGCCTGCTTCACATTGCCAGACAGATTCTTTTTAAGTGAAGTTTAGATTCAACAGGACTGGCAGTAATCATGCCAGGGTGTGGCTAGTGAAACTGAACCCAATAGTCAATTGAATTTGGTTAACTAATTGATTTATTAGCCATGGGGGCAATTACTTTTTCACATAGGTCCAGGTAGGGCTAAACAGCATTTTTTTCTTCAATAAATGAATTTTGTGTTTGCATTTTGTGTTTACTTGGCTATCTTTATATCCAATATTAAAAGTAGTTTGATGATCTGAAATTGGGAAGGGGCAAATACTTTTTTCACAGCACTGTCTTTAGTGTACAGATGAAACGGCTACTGGTTTCATGGTAAACCAAGGTACATACTTCTTTTCAAATTAATTGAAATTTTGTCATTACTACTAAAGGAGAAAGTCTGAGAGCTGAGACTGATCACAGAATGTTCTGCTAGTACATTAATTACACATCTTTCTGTTTCATATCTGAGGCACACAGTTTTACTGCCTATTAGCTTAGCTCACATTAGCTAAATTAACTACCTAGCTAGCATGCAATCATAACAGAACATCAGCAGCAGCTTTAGGTTTAATAAAGCACTAACATGTGCTTATAATTCTGAAACAACACCGTAAAACAGACATTGTACAAGAAGACTGTACCTGCTTAGCTCAGACTAGTAAGCATAATCAGCTAACTGCGTGCCTACATTAATGTTGCAGTCTGAATAAAACCCTGAATCGGAATTAAAAGTCTTACATTAGTGGCTTGGGGGTCTCTCATGAGTCTGATTCACTCATCATACATCAGGAGATACAGCGAGTTACAATTAAAATAGGAACAGAATTATCATGAACTCCTAGTTCATTAATAATGAGTTACCATTGTTTCATTTTGTATTGCTCCTGATCATCATCAGCTCCTAATTAAAAACAGCAACACCCTAATCTTTGTGTAACAGACAGTAATTACATAATCACTTGGCAATATGTAGAACCAAGTGAATGTGAAGGCAGGACACATACACATTCAGATATTTCCGTGAGTCCTCTCTTCAACTTTTATACCCTGTTTGGGGACGATTGCTTCAAATGATGTTTCTGTAATGTACTTTGCATTTGGCTGTCTGGGAGCCATTTTGCCACCTGAAGCTCAATAAATGAAGAGGGCTTTTTCCTTCTTTCAAAAAGAACTCAACGGCTGAAGTCTTTTATTCAACTTTCTTTTATTTTTGACTGAACTTTATTTTATTTTGTGTTTATGATGAAAACAAGCAATGAGATTTATTAAAGAACTGAAATATAGTTATAGAACAGATTAGTTTAATTTTCCATATGTTGGGGCTCTGACCAAGCAGGTATCGCACTTAGTCCCGACAATACTTTCTACACTTAAAGAATATAGAATAATCTCAGTTATTAATCTCAGTGTTACTGAGCTCTGCTAAGGGCTAAGTGGACTGATAAATCAATGTGATGATCAGTTATTAACCTTAGTATTACTGAGCTCTGCTAAAGCCTGAGTAGACTGATAAATCAACGTGATCAGTTATTAATCTCAGTGTTACTGAGCTCTGCTAAAGCCTGAGTAGACTGATAAATCAACGTGATCAGTTATTAATCTCAGTGTTACTGAGCTCTGCTAAAGCCTGAGTAGACTGATAAATCAATGTGATGATCAGTTATTAATCTCAGTGTTACTGAGCTCTGCTAAAGCCTGAGTAGACTGATAAATCAATGTGATCAGTTATTAATCTCAGTGTTACTAATTTTTTTTTGAGGGATGACTGAACTGAACAGTCTTCTTAGTGGTAGACATGTTCACAAATCAATTGTACTTGTGTATGTGTTAACTAAGAATCACATAGATACACACTTTATAGTCAAATTTGCAAAATTTTGTAAATGGGTATGGTGAACTGTTTGCTTAGTCCATGAGACAGCAGTGGGGTTATGGGTGCAGCAGTGGAATCACTGGAGCAGCACTGGGATCATGGGAGCCACAGTGGGATTATAGGTGCAGCAGTGGGATCATGGAAGCAGCAGCGGGATTATAGGTGCAGCTGTGAAATCATGGAAGCAGCAGTGGGATTATGGGAGGAGCAGCAGGCTGAAGCAGGCAATGAGAGCTAAAATACTATTGAGAATTTTCTAACTTCATTTTAATAAGGGATATAAAATATTAACGGAAGAATTACACAGAGAAAATGACCAACTGTGAAATCAAAATTAGTAACTGTACAGTATCTCACAAAAGTGAGTACACCCCTCACATTTCTGCAAATATTTTTCACAGTGAACATGTCCGAATTGTGCCCAATTGTGTCATTGTCCCTCCCTGGTGTCATGTGACTCGTTAGAGTTACAAGGTTCCAGGTGTGAATGGGGAGCAGTGCTGTTAAATTTGGTGTTTTGGGTACAATTCACTCATACTGGCCACCGGATATTCAACATGGCACCTCATGGCAAAGAACTCTTTGAGGATGTGAGAAATAGAATTGTTGCTCTCCACAAAGATGGCCTGGGCTATAAGAAGATTGCTAACACCCTGAAACTGAGCTATAGCACAGTGGCCAAGGTCATACAGCGGTTTTCCAGGACAGGTTCCACTCGGAACAGGCCTCGCCAGGGTCGACCAAAGAAGTTGAGTCCACGTGTTCAGCGTCATATCCAGAGGTTGACTTCAAAACATAGACGTGTGAGTGCTGCCAGCATTGCTGCAGAGGTTGAAGAAGAGGGAGGTCAGCCTGTCAGTGCTCAGACCATTCACCGCACAATGCATCAACTCGGTCTGCATGGCCGTTATCCCAGAAGCTGACGCACAAGAAAGCCCGCAAATAGTTTGCTGAAGACAAGCAGTCCAAGAATATGGATTACTGGAACCATGTCCTGTGGTCTGACGAGACCGAGATGAACTTGTTTGGCTCAGATGGTGTCCAGCATGTGTGGTGGCGCCCTGGTGAGGAGTACCAAGACAACTCTCTCTTGCTTACGGTCAAGCCTGGTGCTGGAAGCATCAAGGTCTGGAGCTGCATGAGTGCTGCTGGGAGATGCGGTTCATTGAGGGAGACATGAATTCCAACATGTACTGTGACATTCTGAAGCAGAACATGATCCCCTCCCTTCGGAAACTGCGCCACATGGCAGTTTTCCAACTTGATAATGACCCCAAACACACCTCCAAGATGACAACTGCCTTGCTGAAGGTAAAGGTGATGGACTGGCCAAGTATGTCTCCAGACCTAAACCCAATTGAGCACCTGAGGGGCATCCTCAAGTGGAAGGAGGAGGAGCACAAGGTGTCTAACATCCACCAGCTCCATGAAGTCATCATGGAGGAATGGAAGAGGATTTTAGTAGCAACCTGTGCAGCTCTGGTGAATTCCATGCCCGAGAGGGTTAAGGCAGTGCTAGATAATAATGGTGGTCACACAAAATATTGACACTTTGAGCACAATTTGGACATGTTCACTGTGAGGTGAACTCACTTGTGTTGCCAGCTATTAAGACATTAATGGCTGTGTGTTGAGTTATTTTCAGAGGACAGTAAATCTATACTGCTATACAAGCTGTACACTGACTAAGTTATATCCAAGTTTCATTTCTATGGTGTTTTCCCATGAAAAGATATAATAAAATATTTGCAGAAATGTGAGGGGTGTACTCACTTTTGTGAGATACTGTGCCTTCTCTAATGTTGAATTATTCTTTTTTTCTGTCAAAACCTTACGCGGCTGAACATAAACAGTTTTTCATAGGGGTATGCCATATGGCAAAAATAGTACAGTAGTAATATATCACAATACTTCAAGACATTTTCACAACATATTACTAAACATACATATTACTAAAAACAACTTTCAGTTTTTCTGAGATTTGATGAGTTGTAACAGACAAAATAGAACCTGTAGTGCCACATATAAATATACAATAATAAAAAATAAATCTATAACTACAATAACTTTCAATGTTTTACAAATTACAGTGCACTAAACCCAATTAAACAGAACTAAATATCCTCACTTTATAATGAAACGTGTAGTTAGTCAATTCTCTCTAAGTACGACATCCTTGATATGCTCAGAAAAGCATAGGGTGACATAACTTATCATGATAATGATGAAATATCACCACATTGCCCACCCTGAGTTTTTCAGATTTTTATCTGGGTTGGGTAAGTCTGTTCATATTTTGTTTGTTTATAGTGACGTTGGGTTTTCTGCAGTGAACCCAAAACCCCAAAAAATCAAAGTAATCTCTGAAAGACTTGATCAGTAAGATCAACCAATAAGAATAAACACAAGAGCAGGACGTGGCTTTGGTGAGAAGGATCTACTTCTTGGGATTTTGAAAAAATGCATATTTTATACTTTTCAAGCATGGCTGGCTGTAATGTATGACAACACCCCACACATTTCTGGTTTACATCATATTAGAAGTTGTGCCAAAAGACACAGTCTGCAGAATTTACCACGTTCAGTAAAGCAGAATGATTATTAAACAGAGATTCAGTAGCTACATGGTCCAAACTTCCATTTACAGAAACACTTACAAAACTGAAAAAATAATAAATTAGTCAATCCTGAAATAACAAAATAGTTAGTAGACTAAAACTTAAATCTTATTCTAGTAAGAACACTGATCAGTCAACCAGAGGGTATCAGAGGGAGTAGCTCTGGCTTTAAAACAAAATGTTAATTTAATTTAAATATTCATCATTCATTTATTTAATTTATTATTCTTAAAATAATGTAAATCTTGTGCTATTCATCTAAAATAACAAACCTAATTCCAAAAACGTGAGGACAGCAGATAAAATGCAATTAAAACTAAGCTGTTATTTATAAAACACTGACGTATTTGAAAAAAAAATAAACAGTACAAAGGAAAGATGTTTTCCTTTATCGATTTCATTTCTTGTTTATGAAACTAATGCCTGCAATGTGTTCCAAAAAGACAGGACAGTCATGCATGGATATAACAGAACCACTTGGCCTGTGTCCCACTGAAAACATGTCTTATTAAGCTGAAAATGTGTCAGTGAAGGCCTGTTTGGTTGCACAGCTGAAGACTTCAGTGTAACAGAAGAAAGACAAAAAATTACATTTCAAACTGGATCAGTTTGTGTCTTCAGTCTCCAAACGTTTATTAAGTGCTTTTTAAAGGAAAGATGATGTCACACAGGGGTAAACATGCTACTGTGACAAATTTTAGGAGCTCACTGCAGGCATTAAATCTGGAATGATCATATATTTACAAAAAACAACGATGTTCATAAGATAAAATTTAAAGTATATTTTTGTATCATTTTCAATGTAATACACTGCTCTCTGTTTTTATAGGTATTTCACATATTTCCACACATATACTCTGCAATGCTTATTGTATCTCATCTTTAATTATTTTTTTAAATAAAGTAAAATTAATTTTTTTTTTAAATCAGAAAACAGGTTTTTGTAGATTCGGGTGGGCTTTCCCCCCAGTCTATGTAGATTCTCTGTTGCCCAAGTAGGATTAACCCGATTAACCCACACTAACCAACATGAAAGTTCAACAACACATGGTCAAACCATCGGGAAAGAGCCCTGGTCCGGTCCAATGCCCAAGTAATCCAGCCTACTTCATCATAACACTGGCTGTGTTTACATGCAAAGATTTTCGCCAATCTGACTGAATACATTACGATTACAGATTAAGACTGAGGTGTTTATGCTCACTATACTCAACAATCTCATTACAAGAAATCTGATCCAAATTACACATATGCGTGGAGAACCACTCAGTGTAGATTTTACCATGTGAACAAGCATCACGAGTTCAGTCAGAGTGAGATGAGCAACAGTGAGCAGTGCTTTTGTTTTTAATTACTTTAAAATGATGTCAGACTCAGGAAAACATCCTTCACATGTCCTTATTAAAGAAGACCGAGAGGAAGACGTCGTGTTCTGAGACACATAAGACGGACGTCCGTCCCACTGCCGTCTTCAGACCAGTTTCTGCTCCGCCATGTTGAACGTTATAAACTTTCACTATGACGTGACGCACAGATCAGAACGGACTTAAACTTTCCGATTGGGAATGTAATCAGATACAGGCTTTTACACAGATATTCTTCTTCTATTTAACAGATTATTTACAGGATTACACACATTATTCAATCGGATAGAAATTGTTTTCCGAATGACTAGACTGTTCTGACATGTATGTAAACGTGGGTACTGAAGGCTACTTACTGTCCGCCTCCATTTCTGTAGACTGCAGGGTTAAACCTGTAGATGGCGGTTCTATTCTGATGGACTCGTTCTCGTAGTTTCTCTCAGGAGAATCAGTCACGCGTTAAAACCACTTCATTACTAAGTACATGTAAAACAAACGTGTAGCTACATGAAGAAGGATCTCTGAGGAAGCCTCGACACACAGACTGCCAGACCAACCTGCTGAGACAGAGTCTGTACACAGACAAAAACGGAACTAAGAGAAAAGCGGAAACAGCCGCCATTACACAACTTCCTGTTCACCCGAAATGGCTGCAAACAGTGAAAACAGAGACTGAGTGATTTACAGATTTGTGTTCTTTACTCAGCCTTTATATCAACACACAGTTTCAGAACTTTACTTAGTCCATTAGATAAACACAGGAGAGCAGCCCAGCTTTACACCAGATCCACCAGATCCACCAGCAGCCCAGCTTTACACCAGATCCACCAGCAGCCCAGCTTTACACCAGATCCACCAGCAGCCCAGCTTTACACCAGATCCACCAGCAGCCCAGCTTTACACCAGATCCACCAGCAGCCCAGACTTACACCAGATCCACCAGCAGCCCAGCTTTACACCAGATCCACCAGCAGCTCAGCTTTACACCAGATCCACCAGCAGCCCAGACTTACACCAGATCCACCAGCAGCCCAGCTTTACACCAGATCCACCAGCAGCCCAGCTTTACACCAGATCCACCAGCAGCCCAGACTTACACCAGATCCACCAGCAGCCCAGACTTACACCAGATCCACCAGCAGCCCAGATTTACACCAGATCCACCAGCAGCCCAGCTTTACACCAGATCCACCAGCAGCCCAGCTTTACACCAGATCCACCAGCAGCCAAGCTGTACTTTCAATTTCAAATCTGTTCTTATTTACAACAAATTAAAACTTGAAGTTCACACTTTACAGATAAAGTAACCTGAACAACATTAACTTATGTTTTATCATCGTTTCCTTTGAGTTACTGTAATTTTGTAAGTCTATTGTTATGATGTCAAGTTTGTAACAGTAGAAGAACCTTTTCTGGTGTGATTTAAAAACCATTTTCAAAAAGTTTCTATATAGAACCACAAACAACACGTTCTCCATTAGTCTGAAGAGCCACTTCACCATGAAAAAAACACTGAGGCACGGTTCTCAACAGATTCACTGCTTTTACTAAAGAACCATCTTTTTAAGTGTGTATTGCTTTGTTTTCTTGCTGCAGCACATACAGCTGAGAAAGAGCAGGAGAGACCAGCAGCAGACATGAAGGTCCTAAATCTAAGTTTCCAGCTGGACAAATAAAGAAACATAACAAAAAATAACTGAATAATTAAAAACTAAAAATAATATTTGAGATGAATCCAAATCCAAAAGCTGTTTCTGGGACAGATATTAGTGAATATATCTGTGTATTCACTGTCAGACCTTTCAGTTGCTGTTGGAGGAGCCGTCACTAAGATGCAGCACACTAATATGAAGCCATAGCTAATATGCTCTGTGAGCTCCACTGGACCAAGTACAGTCCAAATGAAGTGACCTCTACAGTTCTGAGCATAAACAGACTTGATGTAGCAAAACACAAATCCAAAAGCCCCACATGACACCGTCTTATATTCCCCAACATCATAACCATCATACACACATATAGACCCACTGTTATATGGAAAAGTGTAGAAATAATACAATTATTATAAATAAAATCATTTCTGTTTGTATAATATTAATAAAATGTGATGATCTGGATTAAAGAAAGGTCCTAAATTAGTGTCCTTCCTTTACATCTCTGTGCTTTCTTTCTTAAGTCTCTGAACTAAGGATAGTGCTGGTGGGGAAGACTGGTGTGGGGAAGACTCTACTGGAAACACCATCTTGGGCCAGGAGGTCTTCCACGTGTCCAGTTCTGCCCAGTCAGTGACCAAAGACTGTATAAAGGCCAGAGCAGAGGCTGATGGCTGTAAAGTGTCTGTGGTCGACACTCCTGGTTTATTTGACACTGACCTGACAGAAACAGCAGTGATTAACAGACTGGTTGAATGTATCACTCTGTCCTGTCCTGGACCACACGTCTTCCTCCTGGTGCTCTCAGTGGGTCGCTTCACTCAGGAGGATCGACAGACGGTGAAGAGACTGCAGTGGATCTTTGGTGATGAGGCGCCTAAATACACCATCGTTCTCTTCACTGAGGTGGACCGACTGGAAAACCAGACCATAGAGGAATATTTGGCTACAGCAGGAAATGAGCTGAGTCAGGTGGTGGAGACGTGTGGTGGACGCTATCACTTCTTTATCAACGAGAACATGGCAGACCGCACTCAGGTCACTGCACTGATGGATAAGATCTTCAGTTTGCTGTCAGAAAATGATGGTGGCTACTCACCAACGAGATGTATGAAAGTGTGGAGAGAGCGATTTAGGAGAGAGAGGAAGAGCTGAGAAGAGAGATGAAGGAACTGGTTGAGGCCAAAGACAAAGAGATAGTCCAGCTGAAGTGGGAGCTCAGAGAAAGAGCAGAGAGAGATGTGAAGGAGAAGAAACTTCCACAGTTCAGAAAAGCTGCAGAGCAGTGTAAACAGCAGTGATAGTGACTCTCACTCACTCTCTCCTCTCCTCTCTCTATCCTGTCCTCCTCATTCATCCCTATATGTGTATCCAGTGATCTCACCTCTTCAGTTTGTTCTGCACACTGTAGGATCATGGATGCAGTTTTATGCTTGTGTATGAATAATTTATACGCAGAAATTCTGCATAAGGATGGATGGCTTTTTAATATTGTTCACTTTGTCTAACTGCACAGATGTTCATACAGTAATATGCTTTTATATGAGAACTTCTGAAGTTATAGTAATTATGATATATTTGGGGGTCTATAAACAGAAATCCCCCGTCTTTGTGTTTGTACTTTAAAGCTCAGCTACAAAAATCATTTCTGCTGAATTTGTTAAATCCTTTATTTTATTGTTTTGGTCAGGAAATTTCTAAAAAGGGCATAATTGAGTCTCTAAACCTCAACACTCGTTTAGAATAAGAAGATCTGTGAATGTGTTGCTTTAGCCTTCTCGCTAAGCTCCTGTTAGCCTCTAGTGCTAATGAGGACAGTGGATCAAAAGCAGCTTAAGCTGATGGCTCCACACCCAGAAACACAGATTAGAGTCTTTACTGTCTAAACTGATGTCAGTGAAGCTTCACTGAGCTGGACTGAGTCTGTGTTGTGGGTAAAGCTGTATCATGCTAGGCTACTGCAGTCGAGCTGCACCAGCAGCATTTATTTATTTCAGCAACATCTCATTGCAAAAGGCTGAACATCTCAAACACATTAGCTCCGTTAGCGCAGGCCTGTTCTGTAGCTGTGAGCAAGTCGGCTCTCAGAAATGAGAGCAGCACATCTGAACTCTGGCCTTGTGTGATGGCCCCGCCCCATTCTGAGTGAAAGCAGCCTCTCTAATTTGACTGGTGATCAATACAAACTCTGAGCTCTTTGACAGTTTAATGATAAAATAAGAACCTCCTGCTGATTTAGAGCTATTAGGAGCCCAAATTCTGCGGCCAGTCGGGCAGATGATTCTCTCGCGTCGCTGCCGGAGCTGAAATCCAGAGAAACATGAAGGAAATCTGGGCTGATGAGTGTCCTTTCAGTCTGACTCCATCAGAGTGGACGAGCTGCAGTCCGTGTAGTGAGCTGGCTGTTAGTGAACTGAACCCTTTAATGAGCTTAAACTGATTCTTGCTCTGAGTGGAGGCCATGAAATCTGCAAACAACACATTACAGTACTGGGTGATGTTTGTGGATCAGTTTAAAGACACTTCTTTGATTTAGTTTGTAGTGAAGTGTTTTTGAAGTGAAGTCCAAACCTCTAATTTACTGATCCACTCCAAAAAGATCAATCAGAAGGAGGAGAGATAAAGTCTCTCTGAAAGAGAGAAAGTCTGTCTGATGGGGTTTTTGACGGTGTAGAAAACTGAGATGAAATGTGGTGAACAGTGATTCTTAATGTTCATATAAACAAAACTCAGAGTTTAATGTTGTTTAGTGAACCAGAAACAATTTACTAACAGACCAATCACAGCTCAGCACTTATAAGTGGGAAAAGCTTTTATAACCTTGTTTTTTATGAATCTGTTCTTTTAATGTACTTTATATTATTTATGTTTTGGTTATTATGTATTTATTTATTCGATCATGTAAAAATAATTAGATTTATGCTTTATTTTTATTTTAAAATAATAAAAATAATAATTATTATAATTATAATCATAATAAATAAAATTATTTACATTACTTATAATAACTATTAGAGTAATTATTCTTGTAATTGTAAAATAAATTAAATCGTAATAATAATTTGTTATTTCTTTGTTATTTAATTAATTAATTAATTTATTTATTTATTTGTTTATTTATTTATTTATGTATTCATTTACATATATGTATTTATTAAATAACAAAAGAATGTTATATGATTAATGCTTTATTTTCTTTGTATAATAATAATAATAATAATAATAATAATAATTCATCATAAAATAATTAGACTACATTATTTATTATTGTTATTATTGTTATTATTATTATAAAATAAACAAATGATTCAATAATAATAATTAAAATAATAAAACTTTCATTGTTGTATTCTATGATGTGGACATAATAAAAATAATAATGTTATCATAATAATAATAAAAAATGAACTTATTTACTTTATTTATAATATTTATTATAATAATTATTCTTGTAATTGTAAAATAAATAAATGATTACATAATAATGATTCAATATATTTCTTCATCATTATTATAAGAATGTAATATGATTCATGCTTTATTTTCTTCGTATGATAATAATAATAATAATAATAATAAAGTCATCTTAAAATAATTTGACTGATTTACATTATATGTATTATCTAGAACACCTGTCTGGAACCATCTGCACTCGTTATGTTTCTCCAATTGTTCATTCAAGTCTTTCCTTTAATTTGTCACCTGACTGTACACTGTAAAACATTACAGCCCCATTAAGTTTTGTTAACTTATCGTTTCTCTTTGATTCCAAATGTCATGACAAGTCTTGGATATTGAACTCAACTTTGTAAGTTTTCCAAAAAATTAAACTCAACATCTTAACTACCTGTGAGTTTTGTCAGGGTTGCATATGTTCATTTAACTTATG